AAAAAAAAAAAAAAAAAAACGTTCTGGCATTCACCAACAAGACCAGACAGACCGGCAAATGGAAGTGGAAGGTAGGCATACGAATATGAAGGTATTTCCTCTTTCAGGTTAGGCGTCCTTTGCTCGAACGTTAAAATTAGTCTATTATCATAAATGATATTTTTTGTAAAATCCCAAAAGACAAAATAGTATCATGTTGCAGACACATGTTGATGTAAATATCACATGTTTATGAAGTTACAAGAACCATGCAACAATCATGATGTATCCACATAACTACGATATGCTTACCGGATCAAATAATAAAGTAGTCATGAAAGGAATATATTCTATAACTCAAACCAAGACCTGATAATGATAGATAAACCTTCCAAGAAAGACAGTAATCAATTAGGAGTGATGTAAACATACGTCCAATATTTGATTCCGCAAATGCTCGTTCTCACTTATTAATTGGATGACCTTTTGCTGCAAGTCATCATTCTCTTGCCTTAAAAGATCGTTTGTCGTAGTCAACCACCTGTTTTCTAACATGAGCTCATCACTTTCTTCTTCTGCTTCCCACAACTTCTGAAAAACAGGTAAACCAAGACAAAGAACTATGTTTACACATTGCCAAGTTTGTTCTCGGTAAAAAGAAAATGAAAAATACGAGTTTCTTGCTTCAGATATAATTTTCAAGATTTCTCAAAACATGTCTTCAACAAATAATAGGCAATGATAAAAAATCGAAATATCCAAACTTTTCTCTCGAAAAATTATTTTGCCTTAGTCACATTCCTATCCCGTACACACTTCCCCACCCCTACCTTTTTCTCTCTCTTCCCAACCTCCAACCTTCAGCCCAGGCATCTAGGTTGCGACTGGAGTCATGACACGATTGGATATAAGAAATTTTGAAAAACAAACGTCTCCAGTTTGAAATAGAGATGGAAATGTGAAAGGTTGTTTTAGAAAAATGTGGGATAGATTTGAGATTGTAAGTGGATATAAGACAAAAATATGTAGTGATTATAGTTTATGTGACAAAATAATAATAAAATTTTAATTGATGAAATGATAACGACGGTAGTTAGAAATATGTGAACAAGTATGTGAACAGATGATAGTCTTTTTTGCTGGATACTAATAATAATTACTCTTTATTTTTTTATTTTGTGATAAAATGAGATGAAATGAATAGTATTTCTCTAAATTTATTGTTCATTTCATGTTTTAATAAGATAAATC